ATTATACTGTGTTATAGCCAATATACTTTACATGCACACACTCTGCGGGAATGAGTAAAATTGTGCTCAATACGTGCAATCCCTCGCAAGATTCAAGCCCTGAACCACCAACAATATTCATCCGGAATAGGGGTGTAACGGTTCACAAAACTCACGGTTCGGTTCGATACGATACACTTGTGTCACGGTTCGGTTCGGTTCGATACACTTGTGTCACGGTTCGGTTCGATACGATACACTTGTGTCACGGTTCGGTTCGGTTCGATACACTTGTGTCACGGTTCGGTTCGGTTCGATACACTTGTGTCACGGTTCGGTTCGATACGATACACTTGTGTCACGGTTCGGTTCGATACGATACACTTGTGTCACGGTTCGGTTCGATACGATACACTTGTGTCACGGTTCGGTTCGGTTCGATACACTTGTGTCACGGTTCGATACGATACACTTGTGTCACGGTTCGGTTCGATACGATACACTTGTGTCACGGTTCGGTTCGATACGATACACTTGTGTCACGGTTCGGTTCGATACGATACACTTGTGTCACGGTTCGGTTCGATACGATGCACTTGTGTCACGGTTCGGTTCGATACGATACACTTGTGTCACGGTTCGGTTCGATACGATACACTTGTGTCACGGTTCGGTTCGATACGATACACTTGTGTCACGGTTCGGTTCGATACGATGCACTTGTGTCACGGTTCGGTTCGATACGATGCACTTGTGTCACGGTTCGGTTCGATACGATACACTTGTGTCACGGTTCGGTTCGATACGATACACTTGTGTCACGGTTCGGTTCGATACGATACACTTGTGTCACGGTTCGGTTCGATACGATGCACTTGTGTCACGGTTCGGTTCGATACGATACACTTGTGTCACGGTTCGGTTCGGTTCGATACACTTGTGTCACGGTTCGGTTCGATACGATGCACTTGTGTCACGGTTCGGTTCGATACGATGCACTTGTGTCACGGTTCGGTTCGATACGATACACTTGTGTCACGGTTCGGTTCGATACGATACACTTGTGTCACGGTTCGGTTCGATACGATACACTTGTGTCACGGTTCGGTTCGATACGATACACTTGTGTCACGGTTCGGTTCGATACGATACACTTGTGTCACGGTTCGGTTCGTTACGATACACTTGTGTCACGGTTCGGTTCGATACGATACACTTGTGTCACAGTTCGGTTCGATACACTTGTGTCACGGTTCGGTTCGATACGATACACTTGTGTCACGGTTCGGTTCGATACGATACACTTGTGTCACGGTTCGGTTCGATACGATACACTTGTGTCACGGTTCGGTTCGATACGATACACTTGTGTCACGGTTCGGTTCGATACACTTGTGTCACGGTTCGGTTCGATACGATACACTTGTGTCACGGTTCGGTTCGATACGATACACTTGTGTCACGGTTCGGTTCGGTTCGATACACTTCTGTCACGGTTCGGTTCGGTTCGATACACTTGTGTCACGGTTCGGTTCGGTACGATACACTTGTGTCACGGTTCGGTTCGATACGATACACTTGTGTCACGGTTCGGTTCGATACGATACACTTGTGTCACGGTTCGGTTCGATACGATACACTTGTGTCACGGTTCGGTTCGATACGATACACTTGTGTCACGGTTCGGTTCGGTTCGATACACTTGTGTCACGGTTCGGTTCGGTTCGATACACTTGTGTCACGGTTCGATACGATACACTTGTGTCACGGTTCGGTTCGATACGATACACTTGTGTCACGGTTCGGTTCGATACGATACACTTGTGTCACGGTTCGGTTCGATACGATGCACTTGTGTCACGGTTCGGTTCGATACGATACACTTGTGTCACGGTTCGGTTCGATACGATACACTTGTGTCACGGTTCGGTTCGATACGATACACTTGTGTCACGGTTCGGTTCGGTTCGATACACTTGTGTCACGGTTCGGTTCGATACGATACACTTGTGTCACGGTTCGGTTCGATACGATACACTTGTGTCACGGTTCGGTTCGATACGATGCACTTGTGTCACGGTTCGGTTCGATACGATACACTTGTGTCACGGTTCGGTTCGATACGATACACTTGTGTCACGGTTCGGTACGTTTTCGATACATGAAAAAGAAAGAAATGTTAGAGAAATTTCCTTGATTTTTTTTTTAATTATATTTTTATTTTAAACTAACATCATAAAGTATGATATTTTTTAACTTTGAGCAATGATGGAGCTATACTTGACTTTTCTTAGGAGCTTATAAAACAAAAACAGCTCCTTGGACAAAATGAAATGTAATATTGTAGTAGTTATAAACAAAGGTTTATTTTAGTTCAGATTAACATTTGAGGGCAGCAATTGTATTCATAATGTCATAATAAAACCGACGTGATGTTACTTGAAAGCATTATAGCCGACTATTCCTGCCAAACTCCCATGGTTACAGTTAGTAGAGTTACTCCAGTAAACCCATGGTGAATGTTGCTGATCTGGACACTGGATAGTTCAGTCATGGCACAGTGTTTCTCCTGGTTTCCACGTCAGCGCTGTTTGATCCGTTAATAACAGAGAAATGTGAATGTTCCTCACTAGATCTCGCAGCGATGTTATTACTTCAGTGGCGAACTCAAATGTTTTCTTCACTGGATTTGGCTGTGTAGTGACAGTGCTGATGATAAAGATCGGCTCGCGCTGCATTGGTCCAAACTGATAAACGGTCCGTCAACCACACAATAACGAGTGGTTTCGTTCCGCTTACATTACATTTGATGTTGGGCAATGTTGTGTATCGTTACACCCCTAATCCGGAGCTAATGAAACGAGTGAGTAAAGGGTTGTGAGTAACTCGCTGTCGGAGAGATTCGAGAGCGAGAACACACAGCTCGTGTCTTTGTATCTGTTCTGTGGAAGAGTTTCAGATATTTCAGTATCGATATTCAATCTAGTACACTAGATTGCACTTAGTTTATTATTTCAGATGCCTTTTTAAAAGACTACAATTGAAAAATGTATATTATATAAAATTCAACCCGCCAAAGTGGCTCGTAGGAGTGACTGTTACACGCCACCGCTGAAATCCACACGCATGTGGCGGGTGTTAATGTCAAGCCCTGCATGTGAGGTTTGTCTGGATGTGTGTGTGTGCAGATCGAGTGGGGCGCGTGTGCGCTCGTCCTGACGGGGAACATCGTGATCTTCGCCACCATCCTGGGCTTCTTCCTGGTGTTCGGGTCGAACGACGACTTCAGCTGGCAGCAGTGGTGAAGCTCATCCCTCATCTCTGTTATCTGTTACTGACATTACTCTCGTATTTATAATGCCGCCCATTCATAGATGCAGGAAATCAGTGCAATAATTTTGTTAATTTTAGATCCTTCTGACATTCTGAATTGTTGGGTTTCATGCACGACTGAATTCAGGTGGTCGAACAAACACTGGTGACATCAGATTGTTTCGTCCGAGCGTTTTCTCTGCGGCTTGACGTTGTTCAAGCGGAAACCTTCAGCTTTACGACTCTGGTGTCTGTTACCAGCTTTCTTTTTATTCACAACTTATTTATTTGTTCCTGTGTCGCTCTTGTTTTCTCTTTGATAGCGCATTAAACATGAGATTGTAGAACGAAGCTCGTCATGTTCGTGTTGATTCGAATGATTATGTTAGTTTGTGTTTGTTTTTTGCGCTTGGCATCGTGAGATTTCCCAGACATGTTTCTTTGGAAAAAGCAACAGAAAGCAACTGTTTATCAGCAAACTATGAAACTGAATCATGTTTGATTTAAAAGCATGTAGACTAGCTCATATTCATCATTTAAGGGTGTATATTAAAAAAGAAAGACGAGATCATGCATCTCTCCGAAACTAATGAAGAAGCAGTTGGTTTGTGTTTCCAGATTTCTGAGCAAGTGTTTAAAGTCAACATGGACTCAAGTGACACATTTCTGCTCTTATTGGCAATGATTCATCCGTGCACATTATAAAAAATAAAAAAAATAAAAAATTCAATAAAAAGTTGGCCTTCATAATCTTTAATTCATAATACTTTTTAAGGCAAGACACCCCAAGTGAATAGGGGAAAAAATTAATAGATATCACCATACTTCCAAAACTTGATTACATTAAGAATTACACAAAAAAAAAAAGTTTTTCTGAAATGTTATGTATAATATGCACTGATTTGGATACATTAACTCTAATATGTCTTTAAATATGACTCTAATATGTCAACAAAATCAAACAAGAATTTAGAATTTTGTTGACATATTAGAGGTTTTAATAAAAGGCATTTTGGATTCTGTTTTTATCACTCCATAAATTAGAAAACAGTCAACAGCTGAAAAAAATGTTTTTATTTTTTTTATTTTTTTATAGGAATAAATGTTACAAAAAATCAGGCGGATGATATATTGACAAACCCCTCTGTAAAAACCTTCAGAATATGGTCAGGAATAAAACTTTAAGTTTTGGTATATATAAGTTCTGCTGAAGTAGAGAACAAAACTTTTTAATGATATGACCTATAATAGAAATCTACTGACCCAAATAGATAAAGTGCACCAAAATAAAATCTTAAAAGTGCATTTTGGATGTTTTCGTTCCACTAATCTGAAAAACACTTTATGAAAAGCCAAAAAGAGCAAAATGGAAAAGCATTTTTGCCTGTAATGTCTCGCCTTAACTGTTTTTTTGACACTTCTCAGCACTACCTGATTCCTCATGGACAAAATCAAGTTCTGTACTTTTTTCATCCTGTTCTCAAAATCAGTCCGATTTCAGTGGTAGAATGTTTTGTAAATGCGGTTTCATGTTGACTTTAACGCTTTGAAGAGATGTTCTGTTATTTTATATCTTACTGTGCAGAAACGGCACAAGTAACATTGTGACTTTTTCCCCCTCCTGTTCTTTTTTAAATAAATGCCATTTTTGGAAAAAAAAGAAGAGTTTTACGTTTGTTGTACACGACCTCTGACCTTTGTTCTCTGTTGCTGTTCAGATTTAGCTTTTTTACTGACCCCATCATTAGTTTCATCACTCTAATCAAAAGATTACCAGAAGACACAAATAATATAATATCTAAAACTTGAAATGTCCGTGGGCCGGTTTTCTCTTCTGTCAGTATGTGTGGAATGAGGGAGAGTCGCTGAAACACGTCTGCGTTATAGAAACACCTGCCAGATTCACCTCAGATTTCATCAATAATTCACATTTGTGTGAATACATGTTTGGGTCACTAACCTACAGGGGGAAAAAATATATAAAAATGAAGACTTGCATGCCAATTTCACTCCAATTCTGATTACTGTAGCGGGATGTTTTACTTTGTAATTTTGTATTAGTCATTATTCTCAATTATTAGATTCGTATTAATGTAGTAGCATGTTAAGGCAGTACAACATACTAACATGATGTGTATATATATTTTAAATTATATATTTATATTTTCTTCTATCACAGCAATAACTATTTAGTGGTTATGAAAATAATGCTACAATGCACCGAAAACAAGATTTTCTTTTTATTTATTTTTTAAATCTTCTTCTTCTATGTCAGCACAAGGAACAGTATGGTAACAAGTTGTGAAATTTGGCACACTGATAGAGGACATTCTGAACATTAGCCACATCAAATTTGGAGTCTCTTACTCAATCCCTCTAGCGCCACCCACTGTCCAAAGTTGTACTCACGTTTATGATAATAACTTTTGAACCATAAGAGATATAAACAAAATTTCCATCATGAAACATTTTCCACCATTTTGAATTTTCCACCATTTTGAACTCCTCTTAGACGGTTTGTCCGACAAAATTAGCTCAGATCTTCTTCAGACCCTGCCTGGAAAAAGTTATTAAAATCTTTTTGATAGACCCAACCGTTCTCGAATAGCGTGCAAACAATTGAACACGAGGCTATATCTCTGAAACGCTTTAGCGTATTGAGGCGAGTCTTGGTACATGTCATCACAAGCATGAACTGACGCTACATGCAGAGTTTCGGCACAGCGCCACCTACTGGTCAGGAGAAATGAAAAATTACTTATAAGTAATGGATGGTTGGCCCAAAAAACATAAACTTTTAATTCAGTTTGACATACCCAATTTTCCCATATCGGACAAATATATATATATATACATAATATTTCGGACATTTAGAATTTTACCGTAAAATGCTGCAGGAAATCAAAAAGTTTCAGAACAGCGCCACCTTTTGGTCACAATTTATAATAAAATTTTAAAATATTCTAATGGCTATTGATTAATTACATGAATTGATTAAATACAAACTTTATAACATCACCCATTGTCACCTTACTCGGACAACACCAACCAACACCTATTTAGTAACAGCGCCACCTGTCCGTCAAACGTTATAAGCAATTTAGTCATATTACAAGTGATTGTATTTGTGATTTTTCAGCCATTTTTACCAAAATAATCTAAAAAATGTCTTTAACTCGCCGTGCCTTTTTAAAGCTTGACCTCTTAATTGTTGCTTGCAGTTATATACATTAGCTATATGAGTGGGACACATTCCTGCCAGGTTTCGTGTGTGCATTTGAATATTTGGAGAGAGAGAAAGAGTGTTTTCTTCGCCCTTAAGCGAAAGAGATCCATCATCATGTGTCAGAGCCGCAGTGAAGGACTGAGACACGAGCAGAGCCGCACACACTGGAGGTTATGAGGAGGTTTTTCAGAGTTGACAGAGATGAAGATTACGGTCAGATTCAATATCTCACTGCCAAATGCATCCGACTGTCTCAGGAGAAAGGTAAGAGTCCGAATGATCAGATTCAGCGATGAAACCAACTTTAAAGCAGTTCAGATTATGTAGATCAGCTAAACTCAAGAAGCCTGACAATGCTAAAAAACAACCATATTCCTTTTAGTTTAAATGTATTATTTGCATCAATTCTGTAATTTATTTGACTTATTCTGCTCTGCACATTACACTACACATCATGCGTTAACTAATAATGAGCAAAAACATTTGTTACAGTATTCATTAATCTTTGTTAATAAATAAAAAAGGGATAGTTCACCAAAGGAATATTCTCTGATCATTTACTCGCCCTGTTTGTTCCAAACCTGTTTGAGTTTATTTGTTCTGTTGAACACAAAAGATATTTTGATGAACAGTTGTTGGTCCCCACTGACTTTAATAGTATAAAAAAAAAATCATACTATGGAAGTCAATGGGGACAATTAAGTATTTTTAGTGTTATTTCATGTTTTGGGACCTTATTGTAAATTGTTACCATTTTGTCAGAATTTCTTCTTTATTTGCATTATTAAACTTTTTGTTTACTCCTTTTTAACATTGTTGCCTTTTTTCCATCCATCATCTCTTATTGGAACAACATTTTTGATGGTATTAAGTGGTCGTTCGTTTGATCACTCCCTCCGAAATACTTTTTTAACAAATAAAAATCAAAGAAATATCTTATAAATTATTTACAGATTTTATCTGAAACTGAAGGTCACTTGTTTTGGGAGTGCTTTTGCTCAGTCTTTCTGGAGTAATGTTAAAGTCCAACATGTGTTCTGTGATTTTTCCTTATCTTACAGACACATTCTTTTTGGGGTTTTATATTAATGACAAGCAATTTTTAGTATTAACCTCCTTTTATTTATTGGAAAGTTTTATATCCATAAATGTAAATATACAAAAAGTAAACCCCGCTTTGACACCTCAAACAAGAATTGAATTTGTAATTAAATACAATTTCAATGTGCCTGTAAATAAGAAAGCGATAAAAACATCTAGAATTTGTGACATGTTTAAAATTCTTTCATAATATGCTTTTATTCATTTTTATGCCTTTTTTTATGCCTTTTTTTCTTTTCTATCTAATGGCAAATAATTTTCAATAGCCTATGTAAATTAGGCTTCTTTATATCATCTTTCTTGTTGACTGTTGAATTATAACTAGATTATTGTCTAAAAGTTTGTCTGTTTTTGTATTTTATGTTTGTTAAAATTTGCAATAAAAAAACAGTAATTCAGTAATGCAGTGTGTGTGTCTGTGTGTGTGTGTGTGTGTGTGTGTGTGTGTGTGTGTGTGTCTCTCTGTGGGTGGGTGTGTGTGTGTGTGTGTCTCTCTCTCTGTGTGTGTGTGTGTGTGTGTGTGTGTGTGTGTGTGTGTGTGTGTGTGTGTGTGTATGTATGTGTGTTTGTCTGTGTGTGTGTGTGTGTGTGTGTGTGTGTGTCTCTCTCTCTCTCTCTGTGTGTGTGTGTGTGTGTCTCTCTGTGGGTGTGTGTGGGTGTCTCTCTCTGTGTGTGTGTGTGTGTGTGTGTGTGTGTCTCTCTCTGTGTGTGTGTGTGTGTGTGTGTGTGTGTGTGTGTCTCTCTGTGGGTGTGTGTGGGTGTCTCTCTCTGTGTGTGTGTGTGTGTGTGTGTGTGTGTGTGTGTGTGTGTGTGTGTGTGTCTCTCTCTGTGTGTGTGTGTGTGTGTGTGTGTGTGTGTGTCTCTCTGTGGGTGGGTGTGTGTGTGTGTGTGTGTCTCTCTCTGTGTGTGTGTGTGTGTCTCTCTGTGTGTGTGTGTGTCTCTCTCTGTGTGTGTGTGTGTGTGTGTGTGTCTCTCTGTGGGTGGGTGTGTGTGTGTGTGTGTGTGTGTGTGTCTCTCTCTGTGTGTGTGTGTGTGTGTGTATGTATGTGTGTTTGTCTGTGTGTGTGTGTGTGTGTGCAGCAGTGCTCCAGCATGAGCTGCTGGTGTCTCGAGAGCGTCAGCAGGCTCTGCAGGTGGAGATGGAGGCTCTGTCAGTGCGAGTGTGTCATAAAGAGCAGATCTGCGTTGAGATGAGCATCAAATACCAGCAACTGATGGAGAGATTTCAGCAGGTACAGCCGAATATGTGAGATGATCACTGGATGATGATGTACCACAATGAGACTAGTGAAACGGCTTCTCGAACAAGAACAAATGAAGGGGGCGGGGCTTGATTTTGTCCGTGGGGAATTGATTGGATGGTTGTGGTTCGCTATTGGTGGATCTCATGTGAGTGACAGGTTGCCCCGCCCACATCATCAGAGAAGAGAAGATGCAAGGGGGGGGGGGAGCCTTTTATTTTGTTTAAAGGCTTATTGTAGAAATATTGCACGATTCAATACATAACACAACACTGATCTCACGATACAATATTATTCAATTCAATTCACCTTTATTTATATAGCGCTTTTTACAATACAGATTGTATCAAAGCGCTTCACGGTGATAACATGAAAACAATATAACAAAAACAATATAACAATATAACAAAGTTTGTTTCTAAAAGAAAATTGCGTCAACGTCCACCTTAAGTAAGGCAGATCAATAATATTATTGAATATTAAATGTCCCCAACTAAGCAAGCCAAAAGCCAAGGCAAAAGGCACACACGCCATTATTGCGATTCTTCAAGACATATGGGAAAAGGTTAACAAAAACTTTACTGTTGGTTAAAATGCTAAATTTGGTATTACATTGTGTGTGTAAATGAATAGACTTGGACTTGATGCTGAAACCCAATGAACAATAGAGACACCAGAATAACAATATTCATGATTCTGATGCTGAAAATACATAATTATTCTAGACGAATATGCTTGCAATCTGTCACTGACTAGATATATTTAAAATAACGTCTGCCACTTTTTACTGGTTAGTTATTGTTTATTTGAGTGTCAAACACCTTTTATGGTGCCCAGCCCTCATGGGCTTATTCGACACAACAGCTTCACACATATCACCAAAATATGCCAGATGTCAGATATGCCAGATGTCTGACTGGTAACATCAGACATCTGGCATTATCAGGACCCACAAATATTCCCCCATTACATTATTATACATTAAATTCAACATTACATATAGTATTTTTTTCTCTCCCACACAGTAATTTTTATTTTGGGTGAACTATACACAATACATATTGTCACTAACCAAGATACATATTGTATTTTTGTATTGTGATATATTGTGACATATATTCTACTACCTAATCAATACTATTAAAAACGTATGCAGTGTACAGTATGTGCAGTATGGCAGCAGTCCGTATAACCTGTGTGTGTGTGCGTGCGTGTGTGTGCGTGCGTGTGTGTGTGTGCGTGTGTGTGTGTGTGTGTGCAGGCGCAGGCTGTGACGGAGGACAGGGGGAGAGTCGCTTCACTCCTGAGTCTCCAGATAGAGCAGGTGAGCTGTGACTTGCAGCAGCTGCAGGGCTCAGAGACGCAGCTGATGGGCCTGGTGGACGAGCTGCACCAGGAGGCCCAGCTCAGAGCCCAGCAAGCTGAGGTCCTGGAGACGCGGCTCCACGAGGAGACCCAGTCAAAGGCACAGCTAGTGGAAGACCTAGAGATGCAGCTAAACAGGTATCTAACTGCATAAAATGTGAGTGAAACATGATTCTTATACGCATATTTATTGTATGATGTTCACGGAATGTATAAGCCATTAAAGTATATATTCTGCTTGATCAGTAAATCCCTGGAGCTGATAGAGCTGCACAGCACCAGCCAGAGGACGGTGGAGGAACTGCGGCGGGAGAACTCGGAGAGTCTCGGGAAACTCCGGGAAACGGCGGAACAGTTCGAGTGGTTGTGCGATCAGCAGCGCCGGTGGATGAGCTGCGTCAAGAGGTTCACACACACACACACACACACACACACACACTCGTAGCGACAGACGCTTTCGAAACGCTTCGTGAAGCTTTGCGAATCATTTGTTTCGAACCAGTGAATTGGAGCGTGTATCAAACTGCCAAAGTCACATGATTTCTGTAAACGAGGCTTCTTTACGTCATCCATCACTCATTTGTAAACTGCTGAAAATTAGCATATTTATAATGGGCCGTTCACACAGAATGTGTGTGTGTGTGTGTGTGTGTGTGTGTGTGTGTGTGTGTGTGTGTGTGTGTGTGTGTGTGTGTGTGTGTGTGTGTGTGTGTGTGTGTGTGTGTGTGTGTGTGTGTGTGTGTGTGTGTGTGTGTGTGTGTGTGTAGGTTTAAGGACGGTCTGTCAAGTGAGAAGGAGTCCCTGGAGCTGCAGGTGAACCGGTTACAGGTGGAGTTGGATGCTGTCAGGAAGACTGGGAACTCCGACTGTCCCGCAGAACCTAGCAGAAGGTCACTTTTTATTTGATCTAATGTTTTATTTTATATGATAAATGCGAGATGATTTTCTCTTTTCCTCACAGATGGGATGTTGAGAGGATATCTGACCTCCAGGCTGAGGTGGAGCGATGGAAAACACTGTATGAAGACCTGCTTAAACTCACCATACAGCAGGTACACACACACTCACACACACACACACACACACACACACTCACGCACACTCACTCACTCACTCACTCACACACTCACTCACTCACTCACTCACTCACTCACTCACTCTCTCACACACACACACACACACTCACTCACTCACTCACTCACTCACACACTCACTCACACACTCACTCACTCACTCACTCACACACTCACTCACTCACTCACTCACTCTCACACACACACACACACACACACACACACGCACACACACACTCACACACACACGCACACACACACACACACACTCACTCACTCACTCACCCACTCACTCACTCACTCACTCACTCACTCACTCACTCACTCACACACTCACTCACTCACTCACTCACTCACTCACTCACTCACTCACTCACTCACTCACTCACTCACTCACTCACTCACTCACTCACACACTCACTCACTCACTCACTCACTCACTCACTCACACACTCACTCACTCACTCACTCACTCACTCACACACTCACTCACACACTCACTCACTCACTCACTCACTCACACACTCACTCACTCACTCACTCTCACACACACACACACACACACACACACACACACGCACACACACACTCACACACACACGCACACACACACACACACACTCACTCACTCACTCACGCATGCTCACACACTCACACACACACACACACACACACACACACACACACACACACACACACGCACTCGCACACTCACACACACACACACTCGCACACTCACACACACACACACACACACTCACTCACTCACACACACACAGACACACGCACGCACGCACACACTCACACACGTATGCACACTCACTCACTCACTCACACAGACACACGCACGCACGCACACTTACACACGCACACACACACGCACTCACACACACACGCATGCACACTCACTCACTCACACACACACACAGACGCACGCACGCACACACACACACACACACACACACACACACACACACACACTCGCACACTCACACACTCTCACACACACTCTCTCTCTCACACACACATACGGTCACTAACCCTGTCTGAAGAAACACACATATATAATGTTATAATGTGTGTGTGTGTGGTTGTGTCAGGGCCAGTGGGCAGCAGATGAACACCTCAAACCCCCATGAGGATCCAAACACAGACGACAGCTTCACATTATACATTTTACTCATGTGACCAGTGTTTTTTAAAGGCTGCGTTTATCTGATCTAAAACAGTAAAAACAGTGAAATATTACTAGAGGGCACTAGAGGGCGATGTTCCTCCACACACACACTCATGCCAAACCTCAAGAACTGGGATGGATTTCACATCTCTCCAAATACCAACACAGCTAGACAGTGTCATCATAACCCTGGCTCTCCTGAAGCAGAAGACTGTCCTTCCGTCCCCCTCGACTCGTCCAGGATCATCATCTCTGTGTGTCTGACAACAGGAGTGTGTTTCTCAATGATCTATCAAATAAACTGCATTGCTGAAGCCTCTCTGATATGAGTGTTGAACAGAAGCGCTTCATCAACACTAACATCACACACACAGTCTTCAATGCACTCTTACCGTAGTTTATAGGAAAGTCTGTCAGCGCTCACATCGGACCTTAATATTATTTTCCCTTAAAGGTGCAGTGTGTAATTTTTAGCGGCATTTAGTGGTGAGGTTGTGAATTGCACTCAACAGAAGTTACGGTGGCCGACAGGAAGTGATGTCGTCGTCTGAGACAGCAGAGGAGCCAGGTTTCTTTAGATAAATTTAGAAATTAGGTTTACTTAATTCAGTAAAACTATGTTATTGCGAATATTTTTGTCACTTGTTCATCATTGTGTCAGTGTTTTATTCGCTGACTTTAGCAGCTTCTTTGCACGAAGAACAACATAGTGACGAAACGCGTTTGTCCATTTAGGGCCACCGTAGAAACATGTTGATGAGAAATGGCTCATTCTAAGCTAATAAAAACATAATGGTTCATTATGTAAGGTCTTTATACACCACTGAAAACATAGTTATGAATATGATATTGCATTTCTGTCAACAGATCCTCCTAAATATTACACACTGCACCTTTAATACTGTGTTAAAGTTGTTTGCATGGAAGACAAAGAAAGCCACATGTAATACGACTGTGTGCCACCAGATGCCAGTATAGCGGCATTTATGTAAATAGTGCTGTGTATTCCCTATTTGCTTATAAAAGTATTTTCAGACATAATTACTTGCTTTTTTTACCATTCTGATTAAGTGACAAATTTACATCAGAAGGCTAGTTATGCAAATGAGGAATATGATAATTTTATATAAAGTATAATGTGCTGTATCGCAAAAATCCACCTAAAAGGTTTTTCCCTGATAATGATCGGCTGAATGTTGTCTACAGTTATAATACCATTATAATGTTAATTATAGCGTTTTTTTATGTATCATTGAGTAGAATTCACACAATTTGTTCATTTATATACCTGATGGAAATGACTGCTTTCTCCTTTAATTGTTGTGATGTCATCATGAACTGTCGTGACTTCCGGTTCGGTCTCTTCTCCTCGAGAGGTAGGTCAGAGAAAGTCTAATATGGGGAGAACTCCCACTCACATTAAACTTCCGGGTTCTGAACTGTTGCAGTTCCACTCTGGGTCCATATGAGGGCGCTCACAGGCGGAGTGCAGAATGAATGGAGGTCTATGGAGCAATACCCCTAAAAATCCCCTTTTCTCAGGATATAATTTTTTGTCTAGTAATTCGAATGTTGTATTCGAAAGAAGATGCAAAGAAATTACACATTGCTGGGTGTTAGATTTTTTAGAGTCACTTATTTGCTTTAAAAAGTCTTTTAAAATGTCAATGACGTCATACACATCGTACGACCAGAGATAGACCTGCTTTACGGCAATCCTTCATTCACTGGTGCTTTCGTGCATAGACAGACGAGAGAAGCCGCGAAATTTAAAAATACTACTGTTATTGTGTCACGAAATGTAGTTTTAATAGTTTTTCAGTCCACAATGTAGTTGTTGAAAGCTCAAATCTGTGGTTTATTTATAAAGATAGCGCTTATTTAAAAATTTGATCTGACGTTTTCGGAGTTGTGATATTCAAGCCTTTACCGGGGTCTAAGCGCTCTGCACCCCGCCTGGAACAGCCTTTCCTCGGTGCTTCTGACGTTTGTGGTTAAACATGACATATAATTCGTCTTGTGTATATCTAACGGGCGATCTTTGGTCTCATTAATCTTGTTCCCTGGCAAATCGTTTTGGCTGACGGCAAAGTGAAGTTTCATAACTTTATATTGTGGCTATTTTAACGTTGTATCCTGCTGTGTCTGAATCGTTTACTTTATTTATTGTCTTGTATAACTCTTCTTATACCTTTTAGGCTACTTATACTGTTATAATGTCTCTTACTGATCAATAAAACTGAAAATAGACAGGGTTGTGTCATTTTATTTTATATAGCCTATATTTTATATAGCCTTTTCATTACTATTTTATTTGCTGTACTGTTTGTTTGTTTATTTTATTGACTAAACTATTTACTATTACTTCTCACTTTATCTTATATTTACTATTTGCACTGCACTGTAGTTGTACCATATCGTATTAGGCTACCATAGATAAAGGATCCATCAGTTATCTTTGTTATTACTAAAATCGGGTCAATCACAGAAAATGCTTTTTCCACAATAAGAAAACTATCGCAGCAACGTTATTATGTCTATGCTTTTGCGTTCTGCACTTTCTTTTCTCTCGAGGCATCTACTACACAACTGACACAGGTAAATACATGTGTGGTCCCGCTTCGGATGCCACGATGCCATCAAGCGGTATCTCTGGTCGTAATCAGTCCTTCACTGACCAATCAGCGTCCATTAGCAGAATGCTAGCGTGTTATGAGCAACAACAACTCAACCTGTAAGAAATCGAAAGGACATAAGTACTCGTTCATTCAACTTTCGACCTATAACCCATGTTGGACTTGCAAAACCTACATTCAAATCTAAAATTTCTCAATGACAACCGGGTGAAAAAGACCAATTTAGCCGTTTAGACCCATAGACTCCCATTCATTTTGCACTCGGACTATTGCCCCCAGTGGAACTCTGGTGGAACTACAACCAAAAAGTCGGTACAATAGGACTTAATAGGGAGTGGCCAGGCTTTCCGTAGACGGGCTTTGGGTAGGTTTCTTTTGACATCCTGATAATCTTATCTTATTGCTTCTATGTCTTTATTTTTACTCCGGTTATATAGTATAATGTTATTTTACTCACCTGCGTGAATCTTTTTGTCATTTTACCATTTTTGAGTAATATTTTTGCCCAAATATGTGGAAATGAGAGCACATGGTGACAAGTGTACATCATTATATTTATAGAAAACAAGGGCGATTCACTCTCAGAGGCTGCTTGTTTTTGTCTTGTATCAGGTATGATTTCTGTTACACTAATTTATCTATTTTATTCACGTCATTGTACCACTTTCATGCGTTTAGCAGACCTCTCTGAGTGTGTATAGATGTGAATAGAGTTCAGAACTGCACGGGTTTGATGAGACGCAGGGAGTCTGGACGCCTCATAGCTTCATTACTGGGAATAACAGACGTGTCTTAAAGACTAATTTCCCTGGTGATGTCAGGGATTTTCAAAGTCTCTTGTGTTTAGGGAACAGGCCTTTTGTATATGTTTCAAAAATATTATTATGCAGAGCTGCTTTCACACGCTTTTATCAATAATAAAGCTGCCATGTCAAACATGATCAATGTGTCAGTGTTGAGGTGGTGACGTCAGTGCCTCTGCTGGTGGATGCTGGAACTGCAGCGTGCAAGGGCGAAATTGTCAATCACACATTGGGGGGGGGACAGCTGTGGAACTTTTTGTGTTGGCGCATGCACACATTTTTTTAATCAAAATAAAATAAAAGTCAGAGTCCGAATGTTTGTATAGGCTAACACAACAAGGAATTTTATTACATCTGATCGTCAAACCAACGTATAGCCTACTCACAATGATTACAGCATCGGCATCAATTACAGGCCTGAATTGACAACAAAGCGGTCAGTGATCTCTCTCTCTTATATTCTTCTATAAACATATAGTGTGGCTATAAACATTTTGATTAAATTACTGTTACAGGATAACAGGATATTTACCATTCATAGATAGCCTATGTGCCAAATGTCTGTCAATTTCCGCGCTCCTCCTAACTCTTTTTCTGTTTGGTTTTTCCTAACTCACTGACGATGCACGAGCTACTAGGGATAGGAAAACATGACATGGATTTCAGGAGAAATAGGTTTTGCTAAATGTATAGTGTAAGGCAAGTCGAATGGATTTGGGAAATGGACCGGCCGGGATTTTATATTTTCGGAGCTGGGAAGAAAGACGTAGGCTATTTGCAATCACATCTGGCCCTGCCCGCATAATCATACAAGCCGCGTTTCCATTAGGCTACCCTTCAAATTGCGCAAATGGAAATTGCGTAGCCTAATGAAAATGCGCACAATGGAAACACGTCCAAAAACTCCCGTTTATCCCAATAAAGTTTTTACGCTCGCATGAGGAGGTTTTTCAGGCAATTTGAAAAAGGAACATTTCGCAAAACTGCAATGGAAACGGGTTTTGCGCATTTACAGTCACCTGACTTACGCGGTGTGTTTTGGGTCCGTGTCCGCAAATAATAATAATAATTATCATCATTATTATAACATTTATTATATGTAGAAGACGCTTTTATCCAAAAAAGGAACAAAGCAATTCGTCACATTTCATTCATAATACAGGTTGGACAATAATAATAGGGCTAAGATTATCACAAATAAACAAGATTTTGACGCATATCCAAGTGTGTGTGCGGACTGGGTGTGGAGCGCGCACTGGATGGCACGGTAGCGCGGGCGCGAACACTTGCATTTTCCTATCAACAGTCGAAACAACTTAAAATACTCTGTCATTTCTGGTCATACAGAATATAATAATACATTATTCGCTACTTTTATAACTACTTTTATTTGCGTAATCTCACAATAACAAGAAAACGATGTGCTTTTGTAAAATAAAATAAAACAATCAGGCGCGCTTTCATGATCTCCGTGAACTGAAGCGCGAGAACTGATCGCCTTTGTAGACTGAAGCTTTAAATGTCCACTTTAAAAGGAACAAATTCGAATCGAAAGCTAATACCTTCTGATTATGTAATCCGTATGAAGGTGCATTTCTCTCTAAAGGTGCATCCGGAGATGGAGATATGTTTTTAGCCGACACTGATTTAGGAAAACAATAGTTTATTAATAAACAATTAAAATGCCTCGTTATTTTTTCAGACACATTTATTATAGCCTAACTCACCATACATCCCCTTTCTGTAGGCTGTGGTTATGGCTCTTCTC